TTTCACCCCTTCCTCTGAATGCGTACGCATGCTTTTAATCCTCTGCAAGGGCTTATGTATTGCTTGTGTTTCTTTAATTATAAAATCAAATATTAGTCAAGGCTTTCACCCTTCCTCCTGAATCATATGAGAGTGGTGCAACGATGGATATTCCTCTTGATACTCATTCTACCAAGGTATCCTAAAACTTTCCAGATATTTGATGGGCTACTATCATGTTTCTAAAGCCTTCTTTCGATATTTTCCGTCTTATCACCTTTATGATGTCAAAGCAAAGGAGAAGAACTTAAAGAAAAAGAGGCTGAACTGAAAAGGCGAGAGCAGGTGATTTCTGTTGTCTGCTTTAAATATAGCAAGGCTAGCTGATGAAATATAAATCTGGTGCTTCCGAATAATTATTTGTGGCATTTGGTATCAACATTAATATGTTACTCCTTTCATGATGCAGCTAAGGTTATAGGCATTTGTGCAGTACTACAAATAATGCTAACTAAGCACAAAAAACCAAAGTTTTTTGTCTTTTGAATCTCAATTTCAGATCATATTTTATTCTTGTGTTTTCAGGATAATTTGTTTTCATACTAAATGAGTGTTATTTGTATCATTCAGGAATTGAAAAGGAGGGAGGAAGCATAGAACGAGGTTGTTTTTTTGACGCTTGATGATTTTCTGCATTACCATTTTATTCACTTATATGCTTTGCCTTTGTCTTGGCAGCTGGAATAGTGATAGAGGTGAAAACTGGCCATCATTTTTTCCTATTATCCATAATGACATCGCAAATGAAATACCAATCCACCTACAACCAACCATATGTTGCCTTCGCAACTTTGATAGGTGAGTCGTTCAGGGTTTTTTCTTTTAAAAGAAATTAAAGGTTTCAATATTTTAAGCATGACCGTGCTTCGATTTGTTTTTTTTTTATTTCAGTCATAGGTTTGTGATACACATAATGATTAGCTTTGCTATTAGTTGTTAAATCAGTAGGTTAAATGTTTATTAGAAAAAATGGAGCCTTTCAAAAAAAAATTCTTGACAACAATATTACCATTTTGTTTAATAAGATGCTAAAGTGGATGATTTGAATTGCCAATTTGAAATGTTCATTTCTTGAAGAAAAACATTTGAATTGCCAATTTGTTATAATGGTCTACGCTGACTTATGTCTATAAATTTATATGGACATAGCAGGCTTGGTCATCTGTCTTCTCTACAATATAGCAGCTGCTACTGCAGCATGGATCAAGGGATACGGTGGGTTATGAAAAATTACTAAGCATAGCCCTTAATCATTAATATTTAATTGCTATTTTGGCATCTTTATCATTGTATGAATTATTATATTTATCCTAGGTTTAATATTTGGCTTCTTGCCGTCATATACCTTAACTGGCATCCCTGGAGGCTTTTACTTGTGGTATAGTCCTCTTTATAAGGCTGTGAGGTACTACTTTTAGATTTCCTCTTTGGTTTTTGCTTACTACAGTTGTATGTATCCAGTTATCACTAGATATTAAAATTATTCCATCTTTGATTCCTAATTGTGTAAGCAAATTGGAGATTTAGATCCATTGCTCATAATATTAAGATACCTGTTGTACCTTCCGCAAATCGCGCTTCGGTTATTTATCTTTTGTTTATCGAGGTCTCCATGATTCTTAAAATCTCTGAAATTTTATATTCTTGGATAATTACAATCTCTTGACTCCACCTCATTTATTCCATCATCGGCTAAATTATTATATGATGGTCAGATCTATTCACCTTGTCTATCTACAATAGTCATCATCACCTTGGGCTAAACACATAGACCCATATATAAATCACCATACAAAACTAAAGAAGAGACTCTTTCTCTCCATCTCCTTTATGTTCATCATCTTCTTCGAGTCATCTATTCTCTACCAAATTCACAAAATCACCGTTGCCACTCTCTCGTCTAAACAAAAAAAATTGAACCATTAACACCACTACAACTCCATTCCTCCAATCAATTATGGGAATCCTTGTAACTGCAAGTTGAAAGATAACTATGAAAATTATTGATAAATGCCACTTGTAATTATTCACTTAGATGTAAGGTGCTTATTCCTTTTACAGGACTGACAGTGCGTTGAGGTTTGGATCGTTTTTCTTGGGTTACTCAGTAAGCTCATTGCTTTCTCATTTTAATTGTAGAATATTCAGACAATACATGTTGGAAAACTCCTCATTTCAGACTCTCCTCTTCCTTGCAGTGCCATATACTATTTTGCATTCTTGCTGCAGTTGCTCCTGAATTATTTTTCGGGGAAGGGTCCATAACGTAAGTTTTGCTTTTTTTCTTTCTTGATTCCGTTAACAATCATGTTAAGAAAACATCTTAATCTTGTTATTCCATTCCTGTAGGATACTCTATAGCTGAGGTCTTAATGGTGAAATTCTTTGTGCAGAGGTATCTTGGCTGCGTTGGATCTTTTCACCCAGAATCGTGCGTTGGGGGTAAGTAGTTCATTCCATTAGACTGCCATTGCCATAGTCAAGTTTCAGTAACGTTATTGCCATTTTGAATACTTGGAATCATGATTTTTACTTCTTATGAATTGTATATATAACCTTTGAGTCCTTGGGAATGCTTTTACATTAGCCAGGCTTGGTTTTAACTTGCAGATAATCTACTTCGTCGGTTTTGGATTATTTATCTGTGAATCACTTGTGAGCATCTGGGTTATTCAGGTCCACTGATCCCTCTTTTTCCAATACCGTTAACGAAATTACTGATAGGGAAACTAAACAAATGTGTAGAATAAACACGTCTGATTCTTATTACTTACACATTTGGTTAATAAAATTATGAATAAATTGATAGAATCTCTAAGTAATGAAGATCAAATATGTTATCATAAAAATTTATTTAACTGCTACATTTACAATTCTGTTAACAATAACAAGTGGTTGAATAAAGCATTGTAAAAAAAAAACTGGTTTGTTGGAATTCGGTTTCATCTAAGCCCTCTTTGATCTTCTGATTTGAATTTGCAGCAAGTATTCATGTATTTCCGAGGCAGTGGTAAAGCTGCAGAGATGAAGCGTGAGGCTGCAAGACGAACCATGAGTCAGCACTGAGAAGTGGAGAGGTGTATTCAAAGATGGTAATTGCAATTCTTTTATTTTTATTTTTTCGCCAACAAGTTTTTTGTTCTTCACTTACCCCATAGGTGGCTTAGCTAACCATAGTGTCATTTTGCACGAATTCAAAATGGTTTTTCAAAGGGCGTCCTAATAATTTTGATTTTTAACATAGTCCAAATAATTTTGATTTATTTTTAACATAGTCCTAATAATTTTGATTTGGGGTATACATTTGTTGTATTTGCGTATCACTGGATACAGTGTATTTATTATCAATGTATACAACTTAGAGCAAAATGTTAAATTTATTACTTATCCGTTCGGTTTATTTTGTAAGCTGGTAATTTCTAATGTCGTATATTTTATTTTATGTTAATTGACGTATCACTTATGTTTTTTATTTAGATGTGATTGATATTAAATTTATTACCCATAAATACTTTTCAAAATTATAATATAACACAAGAAACATGCTAAAAGAATAATTATAATTTTTAATAGTTCAGAATGATTATAAAGTTGTATCTATTCAGAATGATTATAATTTACAGACACAATTACTTGAATCTATGACTTTTAATAATAACAACATTTTTTTAGCTACTAAAACTACTTGACGGGTTCATAATTATAACATTATATCATTAAGACACACTTAAATCACATAACATAATCATTAGAAATCCAATCATCAAATAGGACATATCATCAAGAATGTGACCGACTACACAAACATTGGAAGCACAATTAAGCCTTGAAATTAACATAAACACAGGCATTATTAAGGTTAGTGTGCTACCCGGTCTCCTTAGTTATCCACGAGCAATGTAGAACCCCAAAATTACACATACATAAAAATACAACTAAAAAATGTCAAAATTAATATAAAAAATGCATTTTCTTCTTCTCCAAGAAAAGCCAACACCTAAAACCCCATGGCCAAGCCTAACCCTGCTTAAATTATAAACCTTCCTCTTGAAGCAAATGAGCCCCCTTTACAAATCACAAACACAAAAGCTTCCCCACCATCAACATAATGCCCAACCCCACCATCAAATTTCGAGAAACTCATGGCTACAATGGACATTTGGCCAATTTTATTGAGGGATGACTAAAGATTCGATTTTTTAAGGTTTGAGATGACTTAAAGCAATCTCTAAAAATAATCAACTGGATCTTTTTTTATATATCAAAATTTTTAGAGTGTTATAATTTTTTTACGAGTTTACATTTACAAATTAATTTTTAGATATTTTATTATTTATTCATCTAATATTAATCTAATATAAAAAAAATTTAAAAAGAAAATCATATTGTGAAAATCAATTTGTAAAGCATTATAAAATTGATTAAATGTTTCAAGAAAGCACAACGTGAATTATTAGACATGTTTTACTACAAACAAAAGAAATTAGCTCAGTTGGTTATAGCATCGTGCTAATAACGTGAAGGTTGCATGTTTGACTTGTATGGAGTCATTCATTATTATTGTACTACAAATGTAATTTATAAAAAAAATAAAACAAAAAACATGAATAATAAAATAAAAGCAATACTATAAATTTAAATTTCAAACGATTACAAAAGAGAATTTGAATACATATTATTAATATAAATTAATTTCATAAACACATAATTTTTATCTATTATGAAATTAATTTAATAGTAATATAAAACATAAAAATTAAATATATGTTAGAATTTTAATAAATGAAAAATTTAGTAAATTATTGAATATTAAATTAAAAAACATAAAATTTTGTAAGCTATTGTGACACCAATGCCAAAAATGCCTCCAGAAAAAATCACAATAATAACTTCCACATCCAAAACTCTTCAAAATGTAAATAAACAATGTTAAGAAGCAGCATTATCAGAAAAGACCAAAACCCTACAAAATCACTGAGCCTAAAACCCTAAATCATCACAAACAAGGGAAACCCCTAAGCAATACAATGCTTCAGAGTTTCAGTTCAGGAGAATTAAGCCGTGAAAGTTTCCCGCCTCGCATCTTGGTTTTGCCAAGTAAGCTTTCTCGCCTCTATTTTCCTTGCGTAGCTAGAGCTTTTTCTGGGTTTAATCACACCGACCGGAGATTTTCTAAAAACCCAAATTTTCTTGAACAAGGCCTGAGTACAAGTGTTAACTTATATTCCCAGAAGCAGAATTCAAGAGAATCCAGGGTTTCACTAGAGTTTAAGCTACAGTGTCACTCTAAAACCCTGTTCTCGGCTGCTAGAAGTTCTTCAAGTAGTGTTAAAAAGAAGAGGTACGGAGGTGTTTTGCCTTCGATTCTTAGGTCTTTGGAGTCCGACAATGATTTAGAGAAAACCCTTTCTTCGGCTTGTGAGAATTTGAATCCAAAAGAACAGACCGTGATTCTCAAAGAACAGAGTAACTGCGAGAGAGTTGTTCGTGTTTTCGAGTTTTTCAAATCGTTGAAAGACTATGAGCCAAATGTAATTCATTATAATATTGTGCTTCGAGCACTGGGGAGAGCTCAAAAATGGGATGAGTTGAGGCTTTGTTGGATTGAAATGGCGAAAAATGGTGTCTTGCCGACGAATAATACTTATGGTATGCTTGTTGATGTTTATGGGAAGGCTGGTATGGTGAAAGAAGCACTTCTGTGGATGAAGCATATGAGACTTAGAGGACTTTACCCTGATGAAGTGACGATGAATACGGTTGTTAGGGTTTTGAAGGATGCTGGGGATTTTGATAGGGCAGATAGGTTTTATAAGGACTGGTGCACTGGGAGGGTGGAGTTGAATGATCTCGAGTTGGATTCGATGATTGATTTCGATGATGGGTCTGGTTCAGCCATTAGTTTTAAGCATTTTCTATCGACTGAGCTTTTCAGGACAGGTGGTAGGAATCCTGTTTCGGAAAGTTTAGGTTCATCAGATACAGAAAGTTCTATGAGAAAGCCACGACTAACGTCAACATACAATACTCTGATTGATTTGTATGGAAAAGCTGGTCGCCTCAAAGATGCAGCTGATGTGTTTTCTGAAATGTTGAAATCCGGTGTGGTGATGGATACGATCACCTTTAACACTATGATCTTTACTTGTGGAAGTCATGGCCACTTGTCGGAAGCAGAATCCTTGCTAACTAAGATGGAAGAAAGGGGAATAGCTCCTGATACGAAGACTTATAACATCTTCTTGTCTTTGTATGCCAGTGCTGGTAATATGGAGGCAGCCCTGGAATATTACGGGAAAATCAGAAAAGTAGGTCTTTTCCCTGATATTGTAACTCACAGAGCTGTTCTTCATATATTGTGCAAGAGGAAAATGGTTCAAGAAGTGGAGACTGTGACTGAAGAAATGGAGAAATCTGGTATTCACATCGATGAGCAATCTCTTCCTGTTCTTATGAAGATGTATATTGCTGAAGGGTTGCTTGACCAGGCGAAGACCCTTTTTGAAAAGTTTATTTTGGGTTATGAACTTTCATCCAAGACAAGTGCAGCAATTATAGATGCTTATGCTGAAAGTGGGCTTTTGGCTGAAGCTGAGGCTGTATTTTATGGCAAAAGAGATTATCTGAGGCAGAAGAGAGGTGTTGTCGAGTATAATGTCATGCTCAAAGCCTATGGCAAAGCGGAACTTTACGATAAAGCTTTTTCTCTCTTCAAGAGCATGAGGAATCACGGGATTTGGCCTGACGAATGCAGTTATAATTCCCTTATTCAAATGTTTTCTGGAGGTGATTTAGTTGATCATGCGAGAGACATCTTAAGTGAAATGCGAGCAGCAGGATTAAAACCGAAGTGTCAAACCTTTTCCTCTCTTATTGCTTGCTATGCCCGTCTTGGCAAGCTTTCTGATGCCATTGATGTATACGAAGAAATGATCAGTGCAGGTGTGAAGCCCAACGAAGTTGTTTTTGGGTCCTTAATCAATGGATTTGCTGAAAGTGGTAGTGTTGAAGAAGCTCTTCGATATTTTCGCATGATGGAAGAATCTGGAGTATCAGCAAACAAGATAGTACTAACGTCGCTGATTAAGGCTTATACCAAGGTCGGTTGTCTGGAAGGAGCACAGCGTGTATATGACAAGATTAAGGAACTGGATGGTGGTCCAGATAACATTGCATCAAATAGTATTTTAAATCTTTATGCAGATCTAGGGATGGTATCTGAAGCCAGATGTGTTTTTGACAGTTTGAAAGAAAATGGCGGCGCCGATGGGTTTTCATTTGCAACAATGATGTATCTGTACAAAAGTATGGGTATGCTTGATGAAGCTATTGATGTTGCGGATGAGATGAAACAGTCTGGTTTGTTAAGGGACTGTTCTTCATACAATAAGGTGATTGCATGCTATGTGAGAAATGGTCAATTACGTGGGTGTGGTGAATTGTTGCATGAGATGATTAACCGAAAGATTTTGCCCGACACCGGAACCTTTAACGTACTGGTCACTGCACTCAAGAAGGGAGGGATTCCAATCGAAGCTGTAACACAGCTAGAGTCATCATACCAAGAAGGCAAACCTTATGCAAGACAAGCTATTATCATTACCGTTTTCTCTTTAGTAGGTTTACATGCTTATGCACTTGAATCTTGCGATGCCATTATAAAAGCAGAAATACGTCTCGAGTCCTTTGTGTACAATGCGATGATTTATGCCTATGGTTCATCGGGCCAGATCGACAAGGCTTTGAACATATTCATGAAAATGAAGGATGAGAACCTGGAGCCTGACGTTGTTACCTACATTAGTCTTGTGAGTTGTTATGGGAAAGCCGGCATGCTTGAAGGTGTGAAGAGAATATACAGCCAACTAAAGTATGGAGAGATTCAGCCGAATGAATCATTGTTTAAGGCTGTCATAGATGCTTACAGAGCTGCTAACAAGCCGGACCTCGTTGAATTAGTTAACCAAGAGATGAAATTCGCACTTGAAGGGCAAGATAATTCGGAATCTGAGGTTGAAGATGTAAGCGAAGATATTACTCTTGACATTTAGAATTCAAATCTACATTTACCAAGTGGTGAAATTTGTCTTCAAACAACAAAGATTATCCCTAGAGCCCGAGGCTGAAGGAAAGAACACTGTATGTTGTCTAGACTCTTAGGCTTTGCTTGGTATGCAGGATGGAAAAGATGGAGTATAGAAAATTTGTTAATCAAATCGTTAATATTCATAATCACTTTCCTACTTTGAAGCTAAGCCATGGAGTAACGAAATTTCCATCCTCGAGTTTTTCAGTCTTCATACGAAGCAGAGTCCGAGAATCGAATCTCTGAAGACTATTGAAATGTATGGTAGTAGATCTCTCTGATAAGGTGTATATACTGTAGAGTGACAGCAATGTAAATGGTAGAATTTAAAAGTGAAGAAGGCAGAATGTAGATACTGGCTTCAATTTATACCAAAATTAGCATGTTCTTGTTAGTTGAACATGGTTCATATGTGTAGATTGCGATTTCATTTTGATTTAAACGTACTGATAAAAGATAATAATTTAAACAACTTTAAAGTACTAATTTTTCAAAGTTTAAAAAGCACATTGAGTTACAGATCTTACCATATAAAGTTAAAACATTGATTGTTGAACCAAGTAGGATCATTTATTATTTTAAAATATCATAAAAACAAAGAAAAGGGGTCCAAATTGATTTATTACAATGATAAAATTTTATTCAATGGTACTTTTCGGACATTTCTATTTTTTCTTAAATAGTCCGGGGATTACAATACAATATCGGGTAAAAATCTCTCTTAACAATTGACAACGGGTACCCTGCAAATACAACTAGTTGAACCCGAAACTTTTAGGGAGAGCAACATTCTTTTTTACCACTAAGTTCACTCAACGAACTTAAGCACTAATTGAGTCTTAGCATAATGGTCGCCTCCTAAAGACCACGAGTTTGAATGCATTTAAGCATAATTAACTCTAATTTAAGAGAGATTATGATTAGTTTTAGTACTGAATAAAAACGAATAAAAACAAAACAACGTAATCAAAACCACAAGCTGCATCTCATCAACAAGAGGCTTGAAATGCCAGAGATTATTGAATTTACCAGAACCACGAAAGCATAGTTCGTTATTTTCAAACTCAACAGACGGATTTTGAGTCTTAACCATTTACATCCTCTGACAACAAACTAGGTCAAACTGATCTCCCATTTTACTCGATCGTCGTAAAAGAGACTGAACAAGAAAACCAAATGATTTGCCAATAAAATGAAGCAAAAACATACAAGGACATGAATGTTAAGGACTCAAATTATTACTTGAAATATTGTAAAAGAATATAGCAAAATAAAAGCTCCAACCTCTTTAGTGTGTTGTTTCCACAGCATTCTGCAACAAAAATAAAGTTCAATGGTTAAAATGAAAGGCACATCAATGGTGATAATACAATCAAGTCCATGTTAAGTAGAATTTAATTTTATACTTGGACATTCTATCATGCTTTTAGAAAAGATGTAGCAACCCCATTTTCAATTCCTTGTTAGATGCTTGTGGATATGAAAAGCGGGTGCCGATAGCTCCTGATGACATTTGTTGAGTATTGAAAATGGTTCAGCATGGTGCACGAGTAAAGATTTTATTTGGTTCAGTTTGTCAAATAATTTAAAAACTCATAAAGCATAAACACATACTCTTTTTGAGGTCATAGAATGGTTCTGTTTGTCAATTATATGTTGGATATAAGTATTTTAGGGAAGCAAGAATTGATGTAACATAGATGTGTGACACACATATATGCTCATTGCTTTATTGAACATGTAGTTGCATATTTTACAAACAAAATAAAACTAATAAAGTATGCATTAACCAAAATTCTATAACATGGTAAGCTTGTTCCATATGCAGATTATATAAAGTTTGTTTTTTTTAATGTTGATGTAAAATTAAAATTCAGAATAGAAAAAATTCAATCCGATGACGAGCAAAGTTCAGAGTATACGAAAGTACCTCTTCCTTCTTGCCTTTAGTGAAGAACTTGTATCCACTAAAGAAAAGCAGACCCCATCCAGTTAAAGAGACTATAACGAACTGTACAGCCATACAAAAAATGTCAATACAGTTTCGACTTCCCTAATTTCCCTAAATATGCTATCTTATCAAAATGCAGTACACTGATTCAGAAACGACGACTAAGAAGTATGGTAGTTCTGCTTAGTGACGCCTACCCTAAGACTAATTTACAGCAGGTTTTAACCTAAAATGTTACATGTCTATTCTAAAAGGTTACACATTTGATAATAATTTCAATTACAACTGAGAATGTTGCATGAGTTTCTTAACATTAACTTTTAGGTTACAACCAGAATAACTATGAATAATTATGCAATTTACATGATTTGTTATAGAGAACGAAATATTTTAGTTTTCATCCTAAAATATTACCCAGTTTACTCTAAAGGTTACACCTGGTAAGTTTTTCGGTTATAACCGATTTTTGCTTCTTCTTTTTTACCTTATATTAACCGGTTGTATCTATGAACATGCATATAACAAAATATTAAGTGAAAGATATCAGATTGTATGCAGGAATGAGACAGCTGCTCAAACTCAACAAAATCTTAGCTCCAAATTAAAAGAATATCCAATTCCCCAATCGAAAATAAAAAAGAAATTTCGTAGTATTTTAAAATGGAGGGAAAGTAAACAGACATGTTCTTCTTTCCATTTAGCTGGATTCATTGGATCTTGCCAAAAATAAACCTTCGGAGGTCCATGGTGATCTGCAAAAGAAAACTTCTAAGATCCTTTAGCTTCAATCAACTACGATCTAAGGTAAAATGAGATTAAAATTGAAGCTGGAAGACAAATTTAACATCAATTGATTGCAAAATAATTTTTTTAAAAAAATCAAATAAAAAATGTAAATGGGGAATAGTAGAATACCCGCAGCGCCGGCAAGACCACGGCGAGGAATGAGAGAAGCGGCTTGAGATGGAGCCCGTGTCCGAGCTAGAGTGGCTACTCTACGAGCTGCAACTGCTGCCAAAGTGGCCATTTGGGATAATTTCTTTGAAGAGGGAGCGAGCGCAAGGGAATCCACGATGTTTTCCACAAGGCAAATGTGAAAGATGATTAGAAATGATTTACAAAATGATTATTTAACCTATATTATACCTAAAATTTAATTTTAGTGCCTATATTATAAATATAAGGGTAAAGTACACAAATGGTCTCTCAACTATATTGTATTATTTTTTGAGTCCATTAATTATTAAAAGTTACAAAATGGTCACCGACAATTCATATATTCCAAACTTGTCATATTTCGTTAAAAAATTAACAGTCGTTTGAGTTGGACGTTAACATGCTGATTGGGATATAATAAAAATCTTATCTCATAATCGTTTGAATTGTATAATCGTTTGAGATTCTGGAATCAAATGTTAACTCTATCTCGATCAGCAGGTTACCGTCCAGTTTAGACAACCGTCCATTTTTAACAGAAAAGGACAATTTTGAAACATATGAATAATCGAATGACTATTTTATAACTTTTAATAGTTGAGAAACTCAACAAAACAACACTCTATAATAGAAGATCATTTATATAATTTATCCTAAATATAATTTTTTTTATAATTTTTCTATTATACTTTAAAGTTTATTTAATCCATCTCACATAAAAAATATTTTATTCACTCTATTTTTAAAAAGTATATATTTTTAATCTGGAATTTTAAATTATAATTGACTTAAATATTTTGATTTAATTTTAATTTTTTTATCAATTTTGAAATTGAATAATTTAATCCTTTTAAAAAATAATTTATTCAATATACATTTTAAAAGTGAGTAAATAAAAAATATCTTTAACGACTTTGATATTTTCCGTAAGTATATGAAATGTGTTCAATTATAATTAGTTAGTTTTTAAATATAATAATATACAAAATTTTTATATAATTTTATCATTTTTTATAATATCAAAAAACTAATAAAATTTTAAATATTAATTTACATTTTTAATTAAATCCTTACTCTTACCTCGAATTTAAAAATTCTTAAGAAATTTTAATGTACATTTTTTCAATTAAATATTTTAAATATTTTTTATGTTTTGATTTATAAATATAATATTATTGTAAGATAAGACAATAAAATTTGAAGTTAGAATAAAAATTAATTCTTTTATTTAAAATTCATAAGTATATAAAAATTATTTAAAAATTCACATGAAATTATTTTGAGAGATATTAATTTTCTCAAATTTAAAACTAAAAAGATTTTAAAATTATTTAAACCAAAATATTTAAAGTAACTAACAATAATTTTAACATTATTGATCAAATTGTTATTATTTTAAACATTAAAGACTATAATATTTCTTTTTATAATTGAAGAATAAAATAAACTTTTAAATATATTATTATATATACTCCTAAGTTAACCCTTGTTTCTATTAGTTGAGATAATTTGTATATTTAATATATATTTTAATATTTAAAGTTATCATTTGGTTATGTAAAATAAAAAGGTTATCATTTGGCTGAGTTGATGCTCACAGCTCAGCCATGAGTCAGTGAAATAAAGGGCAAAAAGAAGAAGAAAAAAATATAAAGCGCCGTTGCCGGGGATCGAACCCGGGTCACCCGCGTGACAGGCGGGAATACTCACCACTATACTACAACGACTTCGATAATCGTGTTTCGAAATTATCTTTTTCTATCTAAACAAGAGGGAATTGAGGGCATGAAAAGCACTTGCTAAAGTAAAGTTTTCAGAACATTTTCAACAATCCATGAACAAAAAATGATAACAGACAGAGACTTATTGATCCATACATCTCCATAAATAAACAGAGAGCAGAAGAGGAACCATAAATCACCAATCAACTAGCCCCATGGAGGACAATCCTTGTAATATGAAATAGGAGCATACGTACTATCATCCATTCCTCCTATGCAGTAAAATGTTACAACATTACTTAGAAGCAAAGATATGCAGCATAGGACTACTACAATCGGAACGGAAGTCGATTCAGGTTCAATGCAGATTACGACGTATAAGTTCTAAGATAATGCAGATCAAAATTGTTGTCTCAATGATCTTTTAACTAGTTTGATATCAATGAACAGTCTATGATACAACAGACTAAGCTGGAATGAATTAAATACCATGTTACAACCAGCAGCCATGCTTGACCTCTTTAAAATTATACAAGCATACTCAACCTTGAAGCTTCTAAGACGGTGCGAAAGACTAGAGATTTCCATGGCGATTGATCAATGAAAATTGCACAGTTGCAAGAGAGGGTGGGAATAATCGACATACTTCTCCCAAAGGGGCTTGTATTTCTCTATCCCGATTTTCAACCACGGCTTAGAATTTCCGTTGAAGTGTAGAACAGCCCCTTTCTCTATCAATTGGGGATCTACGTTTGTATAGCCTAGCCCCAGTACATGCCACGAGGGGTCCAATGCCTCTGTCAGTCCATAGAATGTCAGCAGTCCTGGTGGCAGTGTCCCGAGTTTCCACAACGTCCGGTCCACATTCCGTTCTTGCCAATAGTGATAGATGCCAGTCACATTCCTCTTCCTCCACTCAACCAAATCAAAAACATTCATCCCAAATGCCCAACCACATGCATCGGGGTCAAAATGTGCCCTTATAAGAGGGTGAGAATAGTTCAAGTATTTGTGATATCTATGAAATGTCTCCATGCATGTCTCAACCGCTCCGTTAACATTGCCATTCAAATCAATGGAAAACAGACCAGACAGATCCTTCTGAGCCACAATGTCATCATCAAGAAATACCACCTTCTTTAGTGCTGGATAAACTTCAGGAATATAAAACCTCAAATGATTAAGCATAGACAGGTACTTGGGATTTCTGAACTTAATCGGAGTCCGGCCATCATCATTATGGCCAGAAAAATAATAACTCTGAGTCTCGGAATCTTGCAGTTGCTTAAGAACTGGAACATAAGAAGCATTCAACCACTTGAAGTCCTCTAGCTTTTGAACCTCAACAGTCACTCCCCGAAAATTGTTCAAGGTGAACCAGGCCTTCATCCCAGCATAGTTTATTTCATCAGTTACAAGATGAAAGACAATCTTATCTGGGTTTTTGGAATTTAAAGCTGTCGAGTTAACCACCACGGAACTTGCAAGAATGTTATCAGAGAAGATGCAGAAATGATACAAATTGTTGTCTTTAAGTTTTGCATCCAATTGCCTTTTTTCCCCGAGTTTCTTTTGTAAATTTGGGTTTCCAAACCATTCTGTAGTCAACCTAACACCGAGACAATACAGACTTTTGGGTACTTCTTCAGCAGCTATTTGTCCATACTTTGAACTTTTCTCACTCGCTGAACTCATCTGTTCTTCAAGAGTTTGGATTTTGGCTCTCAATCTCATGAGCATTGTTGAACTGTCATAGTGGAGTTGTTGGGCTTGGAAGAGCAGGAGTGCCATGTCACGAATTGCAATCTCTGATTCTCCAACTGTCAATGGAGTTCGCCTAGTTGCAGCGTTTGACAGAAGGGCCTGTGAATTACGGATCTGAGCACTTAATTCCCAAGCGAATTGGAGATTGTTGCTTTCTTTTGCTATCACAACAAAAGCCTTTGCAAGAGAAATTTGATCAGTAATTTGTCTAGTGACAGAGTTGGGGCTCAACATTTCATCGGTGATTATGCCTTCCGTAAATCTGTCACGCCGATTAGGCTTCTGCAAATACAGAACACAAACACATAAATTTGAGAACTTCACATGGATAAAAGTTAATGGTTGAATAGCAGGGAACAAAAGAGAACTTCTACTTCTTTTCAGCTCTATGACGATGAATGGAATTAATGCCACTAGAGAACAGAAGCATCCTAACAGTCGTCTCTAGTCATATGATAAATTTACATTCAGAATGTAAGACAAAGTGCTGCAACTATTCCGTGTCTTAAAAACAGCTTTATTAATTTCTTCTAATAAGTTCAAGCATCCTAACGCTTACGTTTTTTTACAGGATAAGACCTATCTTAAAATTATTGCTTTACATCAACATGAATTCTGGAGTTCTACTTCCATAAAATGCCATGCTTCTTGAAAGTAATATACACTCCCAGTCTCATGGAGACCTATAGTACAAAGCAAATGGTAGCATAACAGAAAGCACAGCTTTGTGATCCGTTATTCAATTTTTCTTTCTCCGATTAAAGATCAATTCAATTCCCCAAAATGTTATGACTTATGGTTCTGAAATACCTATTTCTATCCTATGGCTTCAAAAGATACCTAAAGCCACCAACCTTTATAGGGGCAATAATACTCTTCATACAGAAGTATGATCTTGAATATGCTGAATTAGCCGCTATAAAAAGATTTACGGGACCATATCTCCTCAACAGCATATGATTAACATGCATAGCTCTTCCAAATAACATATTTGATATAAACAGAAACAAGTCATTTGTTGCTGCAGAGATAAGGTAATTAGAACAACCTATTCCTTAAAACGATATCTGACCATTATACGACTCCCTTTGTTTAAAACACCAATTTGTAGTTTCCTTACAAGTTCAGTTATTCGGTCCTTAGACAGTGAGCGAAGTTGTAGACAACTTTCTGCAGTTGAGGTTCGTATTTCCCAAAGTTGTGATGCGTAAGTTCAGTGTACGAAATGGCAGGGCCAAACTACTACTTCTAACAAGGACATGTAATTGTAGTGAGTTATTCCTTGATGAAGAAAACAGATTAAATCAAATCGATCTGCTTTAGCACACATAGATGATAATTGACATGTCAACACACACCTTTTTTTCCCTTTTTCTGCCAGAATTAACATTAGCATAATCAAAACCATTTTAGCTAATAAAGAAAACAACATTTCAGCTAAACAAAATCCAAACTACCTGTCAACAAGGAACAAATTCTTAACTCCTCCTGCAGACAAAAATGTCCCAACAAAACAGTTAAGAATTATAAATCTAACAGTTAGAGCATAAATCTCTGAAAGTTGAGATATGCCACAGATCCTATGAGAAACTCCAGAAACAGATCAAGCAAATGCAAAGACAAACTGCCATTTAAATTCCAATTCACATCAGACACAGAATTACAGATAAC